CATCACTTGGGACCGTTGACCTCATTAAAAAAATATGTCCCATTTCTGATCACTTCTGGCCACATTGCCCTCTCCAGCTCCCTCCAGGCTGCCACCATTTCTAACTGCTCTCCTAAAGTGGCTGTTAGTCAGTTTCCCTTCTTCCACTCTTGCCACACTCCTGTGTAATCACAGAGAAGGAGCCAAGAAAAAACAAAACAAAACAAAACTAAGTGTAAATCACATTCCCTTGTTTCAGATTCTTCAGTGGCTTCTCAAAACATTTAAAACAAAAAAACTGGGCCTGGTGTGGTAGCCTAATGGCTAAATCCTTGCTTTGTAACTGCCAAGATTCCTGTGCTAGCTGCTTCATTTCCCATTCAGCTTCCTGGTTGTGGCCTGGGAAAGCAGTGGAGGATAGCTCAAAGCCTTGGGACCCTGCACCCTCATGGGAGACCTGGGGGAGGCTCGGGGCTCCTGACTTTGGTTCAGCTCAGTTCTTGCCACTCTGGCCATTGCAACCACTTGGGGAGTGAACCAGCAAGGAAGGAAGGAAAGAAGGAAGGAGGGGGAGAAGAGAAAAATAGGAAAAACTTGTATGTCTTTCTCATGGTCTATAGGACCCTCCATGGAATATTCCTTGTTCATCTCCTTGCCTTATTTTCTCTCTTTCTTATTTTTTCTGAGTCCCCTGCAGAACTGCTGAAAATATGATCACGCTGAACTGTTGGATCCCTTTGAGATCTTCCTTAAGGCTTAAAAAAGGCAAAGGAATCCAAAGTGCAGGTGGAAGAGTTGGTCTTAGTAAAATGGATGGTTCCCCTAGTCCAACAAGGATGTGATGTAGAAACGTATCTTGGATATGAAGTCCAGGTGAGAACCCTGCTGAAGAGATGAGAATGGAATAATAAGGAAATGAAGAGACCAAAACCTACACTTAGGGTTGGACTAGGCTTGGCAAAAAAAAGTTCGTAACTTGTCATCCATCCATCCAGCTCATCCATGCCTTCGCTAGAGGTTTGCCAAACACTTGCTGATTTCAAGATCTAGTGTCGAATCATGTTTACCCAGCCACTGAACTTACAAAAGACGCCTCTACTTGCTGAGACATTAGACAGTATATTCGGGTTCTGAGCCCATTTGTTTCTCTGTAAAGCTGGAATAATAGTGATAGCCCCTGTGCTGATTAAAATGCTTCCTTGTGTGACAATGCAAAGAGCCCCACACTTATGCAAGTGGTAGCTGGACTGGCAGCTCTGGGGAGGAAGGGACTGTTTGTGCTCTGTTCACTGTTGCATTACTGGCAAGTGATTCAGAAAGGAGCGTATGTATGTATTATGAATGAATGGATCCATGAATGAACAAATCAATGAATATACTGGGGTGTGAAATGATGTCGGAGAGACGAATTGCTGATTCATGGATTCCAAGCTGATCCTGGATGTCTTCTTACTAACAAAGCAGGTTGAGTAACTGATGCCGCAACAGTTGGCTTTCGGCTTGATGAAGTAGTCTTCCCACTTGTGCCTCCCATGCAGAGTCTCTTCTAGCTCGCAAGTTTGAGCAGGCATTTGTAGCTGTTCTAAGTCTCTCCAATGCTCCTTCTCCGGTTTGCTTCAGCAGCAGGCACTGAGCTAGACACTCACAATCGCTCATATTCCCGGGTTTGCATGTTGAGTCTCATGGCATTCCAGACACTGCAGATAAAAGAGCCAAGATCCACAGAGATCTTGACAGATTGCCACTTAGCTGAAACACAGGGCATATACATTCAAACAGAGCTCAAGACGAGGCATGCACTGAACACTGAAGTCTAGGCAGTAAAGGTGGAAAAGGCAAAAGAAAAAACCCAAACAGCTGCTCTTGTGCTAAGGAAAAACACAACAAAATAAACAAGCCAAATGCCTCCAGTGAAACAAAATCTGGAAAGGTCGTGTAAAGAAGGCCTTTATTGACTTAATTTTTGCGTCAACATTTAGTAAATAAAATTGGACCTATTGTGTCTGCAGCTTCCCTGACCATCCTCCTGATTCAGCCAACCGTGATTGAAAATATTTGAAAAAAAGAACCACCTTGCATATGCATTGAGCCTGTACAGAGTGTTCTTGTTATTATTCCCTGAACAATACTGTTTAACAACTATTTGCATAGCATTTACATTGCATTAAGCATTACATGTAATCTGGAGCTGATTTAAAGCGTATGGGAGGATGTAGCCAGTTCGCAAACATGAATTCTCGCCAGGTGTGATGGTTTGGCCTGCGATGATTCCTATTTTACAAGGTGGGAAACTGATGTGCAATCAGTAGAAATCAACCACCAGCTTTTGAATTTAGATCTTCATTTTTGTATTAGTAGTATGACATGGAATACTCATGCATTGTACAGGGCAGCAGCGTCAGAGCCGCAGCCCTGGCCTGCCGTGCAATCATGAAGGGGAACGAGCAATTCTCTACGGTGCACTGTGTTGCTAAGCTGTGATGTTGGGCAGACTAGGTGTATTCTACGCCTTCGTGGCTTGTGATGTTTTTCAGTTTATGATGGATGTGCTGGGAAGTAATCGTATCTTCAATTAAGGGACATGTGTACCATGCCATTTCAGGTAAGGGACTTAAGCCGCATTAAGGGTGGCCATGGGAAAAAGAGGTGGTCCTGAAATTAATCCCTTAGGGATACCAGGGGATGGCTATATTTGTGAACCATTGGGTCCACAAAATATTAAGGGAATAATCTTCCCATTGAAACAACAGCAGAACACCGGCACGTTCCATCTATTCAGATTGAACAAATTAGCTCCCTGCTTGGTCAGAGGCTGTGAACCCAACACTACCTTGCATCAGCACATACTGTTTTTTCTTAGACCAGTCCCTTAATTCTTGAGCCATTCAGCTTTTCCACCTTGTCAGACATTAATATTTTTTTTTTCTTCCGTGAGAATTCTTATAGCCTTCTATAAGAATTGCTGTGAAAATTATATGAGGTGGTTGGCTTAAAGTTTAAAAATTCTGGCGTTGATTGGGTACACCGTCACATTTAATCTTCGTTACTGCCCTATGGAAGCGCCGGACTCTTATTAACCTTGGTTTTCAGATGAGAAATTGAGGTTCAGAATGAGATCAGTCACTTCCTTGAGCTGTCAAGAGTCATCAGGACTCCTGAGGCAGGTGAACATACCTCCCACCATCTGTGTTCCTCAGCCTTGCCCTTCCCAAAGAGACACTTGTATCAGGTGAGGGCTAAGAAAACACACAAACCTAAGGACATCCCAAGGAATATATCAGTTTAACAGCAGTGTGATTATTTATGTCCGGGACAATTGCCTTGAGCCAGAACCTCCATGCTGTCCAACCACGAGACTCTAATAAGAGCTCTAACTCCACATGAATTTTTTTCTACCAGGCAAATTCTTCGTGCTTAATAAAAGTGCTCGCCGAGAAAGCTCAAAACCCAGTAGTAGCAATTAATTATTGACGTAGCATGTGAACGGGAGATAAAGGAACAGTCATTCTTTCTCCACGCACGTGATAGTAAATAAATTTAATTATGGTAGGAGAAGCAAAGGGATCTTCGTCTGCGTTAAGTTTTATTAGCTGAGACATTTAAAAGCATGTCATGATAACAAAGAGGTCTTGAGTAATCCTACATGTGCCACTTCGGTGCAAGGCTCAGAAGTGAAGGGACTTACTGGAGCACATGGTGGCCGGTGGCCCACTGTACTGACAGGTATTGAACAAGCTTAGTGTCCTTGAACTTGGGTCTCCATGTGCCTAGGGCAAATTGACTGACTCATAGGATCCTGAGGCTCGTTTTTTCCTCTGATAGTGCTGCCATGTTGGGACTAGGAGGAAAAATGCTGTCAGACTCCTTTAATATTTTGAAGCTCCCAAGTAGAAGGCCATGGTAAAAGGCCGCCTGGATAGGGCAGTGCGGGCACAAGCATGTGGAGGGAACTGAGGGATGCGGATTCTGCCATGGAATGTAGAGCAGCTCACTGTGCAGCCTTAAGATCAGAGAAAGAAGGAAAGCTCACATGTTGAATCACATCTTGGCTGCAGGCTTTCACTCCATGTGCCATTGTGTTTTCACCTTCGGGCAGGTGTTAGGATTTTTACCAGTGGGAATAGGAAGGCTTGGGACGCCATGCACTTTGCTGAGATTGCAAAATCTGTTTGATTTTTTTTTGTCCATTTTCTGCCTCTGGACTCACGTCTCTTCACTGGTATATTCATGATGCCTTTGGAAAAAGGGGCTCTACAAGGTTTTTCTTGAAAGGCTGTGTCTGGGCAACATGGTCTTTGCCACATCTGCATAACCCTGCTATTAAAAAGCATCAATTAAAAACTGTAATTGTGTTTCAATGTGGGTTTATTTAGGAGCATGAAAATTTGAATTCCAGATAATTCTCACATAACACAAATGTGAGTTTTTTTGTGTGTATTTTCCCCCAACCTTTTAAAAATTATAGAGCATTCTGCACCGGTTATTCTGGAAACACAGGGGGTGGCCAGTAGCTGCCCAACCCTGGACTGGAACACCTTTGAGGTTTTGTTGTGAGCAAAAATTTTCTGAGAGCCACTACAACACATCATAATATCCTTGCTATTAAGCTCTTAGGCATGCCAGATCCTGTGCTAAATACTTTTCAAACATCTCCCTTAATCCTTATACTAGAGTGTGAAGTCGGTACTATCATTATCACCATTTTGGGGATTAGAAGATTAATACATAGATAAATTAAGGATGTATGCAAGTTGAACATGACTGAAAAGTGATACAACAGCAGTGCAAGGCCAGAGGTGTCAGGATCCCAAGAAAGAGTGTCTAAGCCAGCTGCTACCTTTTCTGATAATACCTAGTCAAGAGTATAGTTGGGGTGCATAAGTGCACAGAGTTTCCAAGTGGTTATCCATCTTACCTGGTAACTCCTCACTATATTATTTATATCGCACACTTTGGGTAAAGAAGTTTGGATAACTCTGGGTGGGAGTAACCATGCTCTTCCCTTTTTCTCCTTCTTGCAGAAATGTGATGCCCAAAACGGTGGATGGGCAAATAACTATGGAGAAGACACCCAGTTACTTTGTCACCAATGAGGCTCCCAAGCGCATTCACTCCATGGCCAAGGACATCAAACTGATCGTGGTGGTGAGAAACCCTGTGACCAGGGCCATCTCTGACTACACGCAGACACTGTCAAAGAAACCCGAGATCCCCACCTTCGAGGTGCTGGCCTTCAAAAACCGGACCCTGGGGCTGATCGACGCCTCTTGGAGCGCCATCCGCATAGGCATCTATGCTCTGCACTTGGAGAACTGGCTCCAGTACTTCCCCCTCTCTCAGATTCTCTTCGTCAGTGGCGAGCGCCTCATAGTGGACCCCGCAGGGGAAATGGCCAAAGTGCAGGACTTCCTAGGCCTCAAGCGTGTGGTGACTGAAAAACATTTCTATTTCAACAAAACCAAGGGATTTCCTTGCCTCAAGAAGCCAGAAGACAGCAGTGCCCCAAGGTGCCTGGGCAAGAGCAAGGGCCGGACTCATCCCCGCATTGACCCGGATGTCATCCACAGACTGCGGAAATTCTACAAACCCTTCAACATGATGTTTTACCAAATGACTGGTCAGGACTTCCGGTGGGAACAGGAAGAGGGTGACAAATGAGACAGGAGCTGTGAAGGGAAGGCTAGTGGACAGCTTAGGAGGTTCTTCCCCCGAATCCTGAACCCCCAAGGTTCTGCAGAGCTGCGGCCTTGCTGGAGGGCTGTGCGTATCCCCTCCTTTGTCTGGTCAGGATGGCCTCTAGAGATGTTGGCTTAGACAGAGGGAGTGGGCCCTCCAACCTCGTGGAGGAACTAAGCTCACCTGGGCATCAGCATCTGGTTGACCAGGTGGCCTCAGAACCCACTGCTTATCCCTAATGTCTGCTAGTTTACTGATTCTGTGGACAAAGGGTAAATAGTGCTAGATACGGTGCCATAAATGTCTATCTGAGTGGCAGAAAAGAGAAAGGTCTGCTTTCTGGGGGCTCTGGTTTGAGGAGGCTGGTTCTTGTTATGTGTCTGGCACAGGCACCTGCTGTCCAACTCCTCTCTGGCTCCTCTCCACAACGTGGTTGTGACTGAGTGCTCTAGGACTTTGGGGAGCAAGTCCTCCCCTCACTTATCCCTAGCCTTCTCTCTCAATGCCTCATGCTACAACCCCTTGACCTCCTCCCTCCCACATCGTGAAGGAAGAGGCATGCACGGTCCTCACCAAACACCTGCCAACCCCGGAAGCCTTCGTTCTTACACTCTTCTAAGGAGAGTTCAACTTCTCTTCATGGGTGTCCTGATGACAGAGAGGTTTAGCCCATACCCTGGTATTAGATTCAGGCAAGTTGGTGCCGCTGTGAGTGAGGTGGATACCGATGAAATCAAAGCCCTGTGGTCATCCAAATAAATGGCCATGATTAGGTTGGAAGAAGAAATCCAGACCCTGCCCTCCAAGTACCCTGGTTCTGAGGCATGCTTGAGGTTAGTCTCTGTCCCCTAAAGTCCCCAGAGGAACCAAAACCAGAGAGTTGGTGTGTCCCTTGTTCTGAATAACCCATGGTGATTCAATAGAGAGGGGAGCAAGCCACCCCAATGTTTACCCTCCACCCCCCCGCACCTACCCCCTCAGGGTCATCTCATGCTCTATTTTTTCTATTCAAAGATGGTGTCAGGTGGGGCTGTGGTAAGAGGGATGACTGCACTTTTCAGATCCAGCTTGTCTGGAATGGAGGTCCAGGACTGTCTGCAGACGCCCCCATCAAGGGCTGCCAGATAAAGTGTCCCTTTCCATTAGTCTGGTTCCATTAAAATGCAGCATTTGACATGAAGCACTTGTTCACAGATCTCCAAAATCAGGAATTGTTTGAGTAAAATGGGAAATTTGTATGAGTGGGGGGACTTAAATCTCCTCAGCTGTTATTAAACTGTCATTTCTCCCGCTCAGTGAAAACTGTGTTGTTATAAAGCTTCATGCAACCTGATTCGTGGGTTTTGGTGGCGTGTTTGTGTTGGTCACTTTCATCCCTGCTCCAGCCCTGGAATTCTGGGAGCATTGCTTCTACAGAATGACCAGAAAGGCTCAACTGGGAGAGTGTTTGGGGGATTTTGTCTGCAAAGCAACATAGTTCTTACACACACACACACACACACACACACACACTGACTCCTGAAAGAAGTTAAGCTTTTCCTATCTTAATCCTGGTACAAGATGAGAACTGCTATGCCAGATTCAGAGAGAGAACTTTGTATTATTTTGTTTTGTTTGTTTTTAACATATTACAAAGTGACTTTTGAACTAGGACAACAAATATGCCTTCACTACCATCATAGAAGAGGGTTTACATACACATACCCACACACATTTAAAGCAACAAAATGCAGGCTTGTTCAGAAGGGTGTACAGTGGGACTGGTTGATATGGGTTCTTAGAAGCAGAACGAGGGATAAATGGGGTTCAGTCCTGATCCACTGTAGAGTTGGTTCCAGATCTAGTTTCCTGAGTTCTGTTCAGACTCACACATGAATCAGTCTCTAAATGGGGCTTAGACTCCAAACATTCAAAAGCATTTGAAAGGAAGCTGAGAGTGAAAACAGGACAGTCTTGTGTGTGTGTGTGTGTGTGTGTGTGTGTGTGTGTGTCTGTCCTTTCTCTCTCACATCTTTTTTGTATGGGGATTATTTCCAATGCAAATGGCTGCTCAGGCTTTTTATTGCCTCCATATGGGAACATTTACTCTTCTGGAGTTCAACGACAGGTAGGTAGGAGGTGCCCTCAGAACCGAGATTATCAGTGGGATTTTGGTGCTGGGAAAGTGCTCAGGCTGATTGCCTACTAGTCAAGAACAACCACAACTTCATTCTACCCTTGTCTCTTCCACTTTTGGTGGATACACAGGGACTCACCCCTCGAATCCCCTTGTGCTACCTCCGATACCTCCACGATCATCTGCCTGTCCCTGAAAATAAGAGCATCAATATTTTAAGTGTGGCTTCCAAAGAAAGATACTCTAAATGTGATCATATAAGTGTGACATACAAGTGTGACATACAAGTGTGACATACAAGTGTGACAGACAAATTAACTTTAGAGAAAAAAAGATCTATTTATTTGAAAGTTGGTGTAACAGAGAAAAGGAGAGGAGAGAAATTTTGAGAGAGATCACCCATCTGCTGGTTCATTTCCAAATGGCCATTGCAAGCTGGGCTTGGAATGGCGAGACTGGCAGCATTGCAGAAATGTTGAACTATCAAAACTGCTTCAGCAGGACCCTCGGAGCGTGCCTCACATCAGGGACCTGGGATGGGTGGGAGGCTGGGTGGGGTTTCTCCCTTTGTTTCTCCTCTGACCTCAGATACAGGGAAAAAAAGTGATGATATTAGTGTGGAAACAATGATATTATCCACTTTCCTGTAGCCCTTGACCCTTTGTACTCTAATCAACTAAGTAAGATTATTTAAAAAGAAACCTGTATGTGCAGGTATGTTAACAAGGAGGTATGTTGGAAATGGAGTAACTGGGCACCCTTATGGGATGCTGACATGGAAGGCAGTAATTTAGCCAGCTTCACTACAAAGATGGCTCCATAAAGTAGCTTTTAAAAACATACTTAGTCAATGGTTCATTGCCTGAGATATGAAAATAGAGGACTCCTTAGATTGCACGTATATCCTTGCGTACAACAATGGATTAGAATTCCGTAGAGAGAGCATTAGAAACCCAGCCTTTAAAACTGTGAGAATTTTTATTTTTACGTCTGTGTGGTGATATGGTTGAAAGCCCTTGGCTCTGAAAAGAAGTGCAAACTTGACATGTTTAAGGTCTATTTCCCTCAGTGTCTACCCCAGCTTGATCCTTGTGACTCTAAGAGAAACCCACTAAGCTGTGTCCCTTTCTTCAGCAGAGAAACCTGACAAAAGAATTGGTTTACATTTCGAAAACTGAATTAATTTGCTGAAATAATCTGGTTAATAATACTTCCATACCATTTAAACATATTACAGCTCATGAGAGATCGAATTCTGTATTTGATTTCAATTAGCAAAGCATAAATTATATTTAATCTTTCCATTCCTCTCCCTTCCCTCAAAGGTACAACTCCTGACTCAAAGAAAGTTAGTACGTATGGTTTAGCGAGGAGAGAAAAGGAAATGCATCCTCAGAGATTGGTCCAGAAGGCTTGGTTCCTGGATTCATCTCTATGTTTGTTTTGCCCTCGTCATTCTGTATATAAACGGTATGAAAATCTTTGACACTGCCACCTCATCCTGCCAGCTTAAAACTCAACAATAACAACAGAAACATTCATCAGGTGTAGGCACTGCCGTGCAGCAGGTTGAACCACCACTTTGACACCCACATTCCATATCCGACTACTTTGGAATGACGCCCCATTCCTATTTTGGATCCAACGTCCTGCAAAAGCACCTGAGATCTTAAGTCCTTAGTTGCCTGTCACCATGTGGGAGATCCAGATGGAGTTTCTGGCCGCTGAGTTTTGCCTAGCCAAGCTCTGAGACAGGCATTTGGGGAGTGGATTTGCAGTGTGTCGCACCCTCTCTGCCTTTCAGATAAATAAATAAGTGATTTCAAGGCACCTCAAATGCATTCAATAGTCCCATTTATCCTTGGTATGAAGACCAAGGTGTCAGAACAGTAAAAAGATGGTCATTCCTGTAGTTTCCTGCCATCCTTGAGAAGCAAAGCAGGTCAAATGTCTGTCCAGGCTGACAATCTGTCAATCCCGGAGTACTAGGTAGGAGTTCCAATTTGGGCCTCAGTTCTCTGTGATTTAAATTCCTAGGTCCTTCTCGTTCCTTCTAACTTCATTCTTCCTTGTCTTCATCCCCTTCATGATTTTCCAAAGAAACCCTACCCCATCCCCCTGCCATGAAAGAGGCAGCTGGCTTTTGTCCTTGCTTCGTGTCTTCAACAAGCAGATCTGCCAGCTGAACCCAAGCTTCCAGACCTTTAGTGTATTCTGTGTGTACCTGCCCTGCCACTCGGAGTTTCTATGGTGATCAAACTGAGTTGAAAGATGGGAAGGCATCCAAAAAGAATGGAGTGCTTCACTGACACAAAGGACAGTGATGATGATGGTGACGAAGACAGTCCTGGTGATGGTGAGGATGATAACCATGAAGGAGAATTTAAAAGGAAGAGGAGGGAAGAGAATATTCCTGCTAATGTCTTCTAGAAGAAGATACCCTTATGATGGTCCAAGGCAGCGCCCTCAGGGGCAAGTGCTGTCAGTTAGGAACCACTGTAAGAATGAACAGTTATGAGAGTGCTAAGAGAAAGTGAAGCAGGCGTGGTTTACACAGTGCCACCAGCAGGAGAAACAGGAGCTACAGTCAGCCCTCCAAGTGCCTAAATTCCAGACATTCAAATGCAAACCCTCCCCACTGGGAGCAAGGGTCTTCTTTGGTTCCAGACCCTTGTAAGATGCAAGTGAAAGTTGGTTTTCAAGTTCCTGAGAGTTGACCCGGTACCTGCTGCTCTGACTGCTGAAAGTTTACACAGTAGAGAAAGATGGTTGATGACCAAGGCGCACTGTTGAGAACGGTTTCTGGAAATACTCTGAAACTGGGGGAGCTCCTTGGGTTGATCTCATAGCAAACTGGGGTGAGATGAGAGTAGTTGACTTATCTGCCACTTTCTGCAGAGGATGAAGATGTATCATTTCAGCCTTAAGAGTTACATGACACCACTTTTTAAAGTTGTGGAATATATTATAAGACATAATACTAATAGTATTATATGTATCCTCAAATCAGGAAAAAAGGCCTAGAACATGTATGCCTACTAATGGAAGCCTAGAAGACTCCTTAGGGTTCTTGATACTACTGCTCCTGCAGATAGGAAAAACACACCTCTCCAGGGTCAATCAACCATGTTTCATTTGTTTTTTCATCCCACACCTGTGGTCATACAGCAATTCAAGGAGCAATTGGAAAAAGCAAAGCCTTGGCAGGACCCCCAGCCTAAGAGGGAAGCTGGATATAATAGTGTATGCAGCAGAGGGTTTACACTGAGGAGAGAATATACTCAGAGTCACATAGAGTGTGGCAAGGTGGAGGGTGTGGTGTGGGGACAACCACGAGGGGCAAGGGAAGGCCTCTACATGCTTGTGGCATTGAAGACCACGGTGAGCATCATTTTGCCTCCACTGTAAGTCAGTTCTGATGTTCTAGAGCTAGACTACATACAAAATGATGAATCCC